CCTTCAGCTATGAGCTACACTTGGAATCTAAAGGTTGCCAACTTTTGTGCTCAGACAATACAAACAGAAGAACAAAGTAATTTAATATTAAAAAAGTTTGAAATACTTTTACTAAAAGACTAAAAAATGTAACTGTATTTTGAAAAAAGCCACATATGTATTAATTTTTACTGTCAATACTCATGCATAATACCACTATTTTCTACTTAAATGCTTTAGAATTACCTTTTTTCTTAGTTTCCCTCTGATATGACATAACCTCTTCACACCATCAAAACATAATGCCTCCAGTCTTCCATTGCCTAACATCTTGATCACCTGGGCATATTCTGAAAGAGATAGTAACATATGACAAAACTTCCATACAAAGACATTTTTATGAAACAACTAGTAACTTTTGTCACCGTAGCCAAAATCTGCTGTAACATATTATAAAACATGAACAGCTGAGAGGAACTTTGATCAGTCATAACACAGGCTGCTAAAGTTTTCATATCACTGTTGATGCTAACGTTTTCCAACGTTTTCCATGCTCACCCTTGGTTGTTTCCATGCTTTTGTTTCCTCCAGAATGTTTACTAAAGATAATTTTACAGCTATCAAGTAGAGTACTCAGTCTTACACACTCTGAGAGTTTAAAAGTTTATTACAGCATCACATCTGCTCTCCCCACTGACAAAATCTTGCATATCATTGAGGGAAAAGGAGAAAGTGGCACTTGAACATTCATTCTCAATTACCCACTGATATTCTGACTCCCTTCTGCAGAGGTTCTATAGAGAAAGCTGCTGTTGTTAAAAGAATGATACTCTCAGAAACTGTCTGAAAGCATTCCCGTACTTATCAGGAGTCAAACGAGAACACGAAGCTTCTCTCCAAACCTTGTCCCTCGCTGCAAGTCTCACGTTTCCTTCAATCTCCTTCTCTCACCAGGTTCCAGAAATCACAATTAAAGCACTTCGCAGACACTACTAAAGTTTGCAGCATGAGGTATTATGATTTAACTAAACAGAAAGAAGCTTGCAAGAATCATAACACCATCTGACCACCCGTACTCTCCAGGATTAAGAAATTTTCTCAATCGGGCAGAGCTGTATTTTAATATTCTAAAATCTTTCCTTAGCCCAAGCTAGACAGTTCAGCAAATCACCACATCGGAATCTCATTAACTGAGAACAGTATTTAACTAAGCAGATCTTCTTTGGGAGTTGGAAAGGATTTTAAGCTTTACAGGTGCATCAAAAGTCAACTCCTTTTTCCTTCTGTCACAGAATTATCAGCAAGAGATTCAGAAATATGTTCAGTTGTCATATATGCCTTTAAAATGATGAGAAAAGCTTCAGTGATTTAAGTCAGTACTTTTCATGTACTTCTTTTGATTAATCTACCAACTAATTAGTTGGCTGCTAGGCAAGTACTCACATATAGGCACGCTAGTATGAGAGCATTGCACGCAAGACAGGCTGAGCTAAAAAACAGATGAGGTCACTGCCACCAACAGCAAAGGAGAACGAAACAGTCGTCACCACCCTCTCAGTCATATACGCATGGTGCTTACTTTACTTGACAAGATCCAAATAAGGACCTTACCTATTGCTCCCGTTTTAACAGTTGTTAAGACATCCCACTCCCAACCCAGTATGCCAATTCAACTAAATCAACAGAGGACAGTGGAAGAACACTGAGCTTGCTTTTTTGCCGCGTTAGTGATTTCAGAGACTTCACAAGAAGATTCAAGAAATGCCAAGAAATTTGTTAGCTTAAAACAGGAAGCAGGACTGAGCTAGACATCCAAGCAGCTACTGAGAACACTGATTTAGATCACCTAAGCTAGACCCTCACACCGAGTAATCCAAAGAATTTCCACAAAACGTTTACATGTGGATGGCATGACACACAGCATCGCAATCAGGTCAAGAAAAAGCAAGCTTCGCTCTTAAGTGGTGAATCTCTAAAATTTCCCATTTCCTAATATCTTCCTCTTACACTCAATGTATCACTTAGAACTCAAATATAATCCCTATAAGAACGCATCCTTCTATTCTGTAGTAACTGTGTATGTCTCAGACAGTCATGCATGTTTGCTTTGTGGTCCAACATCCAATGTATGTCACTTCCAATACTGGACTGAAAACACTGGTATTAATGGCTTATTGCAGTTGAAAACTCACCTTGCCCGTCCTCCTTGAACACCAGTTCTCTTTTTTCTGATTCATTCTCATTCTTACCTCGTCGTCTATTTTTACCTCCTTTGCCTAAATTAAGAGGGGAAAAAAAGAGCATGTATTACTACCTAGTTAGTTTCTACCTATAAATACAGTCAATGAAATAATCTATTAGACCTAGGGGGATTTCTGTACTTGGTCTCAGTGTGGCAGTTTTGAGAGTTTATTATACAGATCTGGATTCTTGCTTGTTTTCAACATTTTCGGCTCTAAATTTTTAACTGATTGGGTACTGATGCACGAACTACAAGATTAGAGCTTCCACTATTTAAGATTTCCTGGTCGCTCAGGAACGACAGTGGCTTCAAAAGGGATTTGCCCAAGGTCTCCATTTGCAGTTTCTGCAACTGCTGCTACCAAACACCTCATAAATAATGGTGGGGCAACCAGATGCATGCATCCAACTAAGAACAGAAGCACTTGAGCTCTTATTGCAGCACTGAACCCCTGAAACTCGGAAGAAAGCTTACTTTCCCAGTGAAGATGTCCTTTTAAAAGGCACACACGTGGCAAAAAGCCTTAGCTGCTCCTCCTGAAGGAGCAGGAGAGCAGCACATACGTTTGTTCCCTCCCTCCTGTTAAAAAGCAGCTGTTTCCTCTCCCCCCCTCTCTCTTTCTTCCTGTCCCTCGGGCATGGGGCGGCGGGAAGGGGGAGAAGCAGCAGGTCGCAGCGAGCGCACGGAGGGCCCGGTC